AACCATTTTTGGAATTGTGTTTTTGTTATCTTTGTGGTATGATGCACAAATATGTATAGTTTCTTATAGGTTTTTAAACGTCTATGTGTAGCTGCTGATGTGTTCTTGTGGAGGGACAAAAAACTCTCAGCCGCTGTTCTTGGCGTCGCGACTGCCGTATGGGTGCTGTTCGAATTGTTTGAGTATCATTTCTTGAGTCTTGTGTGTCACATTTTGATATTCGCACTCGCAGCCTTGTTTTTATGGTCTAGTGCTCATGCCTTTATGAACAAGTAAGCTTTTGCTGCCTTAATCATGTTGCAAGTTACAACCTATATGTTTCTTTGCTTTGCTTAAAATGTTCGAAAACTCTTCTTTTTGTTTTCAGGACTCCACCTAAAATTCCTGAAATCCATATTAAAGAGGAACATTTCCTTTTGATTGCTTCTGCACTGAGAAACGAGCTGAACCAGGCTTTCGTTATCCTAAGGAGCATTGCCTTAGGAAGAGACTTGAAGAAATTTCTGATGGTATGTTTTATGTTCGGTTCATTATTGTAAATATTTGCAGTTAATAAAAGAGATTGTTAATGTTGTGTGCCTAAGTTAAGTACTTGATCAATCCTGTCTGAGTCTGATTGTAAGATATGCATTGTGTGTTAATTAATCTCAGGTGGTTGTTGGGCTGTGGATAATCTCGGTTGTGGGAAACTGGTTCAACTTCTTGACTCTTGTATACATCTGTAAGTACTTGTACCAATAAAAAAAGTTCTAATTTGTATAAAGGTTTTGTTTTTTCGATTGTTGAATCTAAACTATGTTTGTGTGTGTGTGTTTGGGGGGGAAAACAGGTTTTGTGGTATTGCATACAGTACCGATGCTATATGAGAAACATGAGGACAAGGTAGATCCAATGGCAGAGAAGACATTGAAGGAGCTGCAGAAACATTACATAGTGTTAAATGAGAAAGTTCTTTCTAAGATTCCAGTTGCTTCCCTCAAGGCAAAGTTGGGTTAGAGACTTTAGGGTCAAGTAACCTCCCTTTTATCTCTCTCTCCCCCCCCCCCCCCTTGACTTTTTGCTTTGTGTCTTGGGGAATTTATATATTTTTACTGAGGGCCCTTGAAAAAATTGTTACTCTGCTTTCATTTATCTCATTTTGACTTTTTCTTTTACCCTGGGAAATGATGATTTTTTTTTTGTGTTTGGCTACATATGTGAATGCTGAGTTAATCAAATTCGTAAAAATATAAGATCATGGAATGGTAAAAATGTTTATTTCATAGCCCCTACACCAAACAGATTACTAAAACATTATTTTGGAAAACCTTTCAAAGAAAGATTTAGTTACCGAACAAATGACAGTTGATCAACATTTTTCTTTAATTTCCACTCGAAATTTTAACCCATGCATCAGCAAAAGAAAAAGAAACAGCTTTAACTTTCCTTTTATAAAAATGGAATAAAAGAAAATTAACGGTATGATAATTACAACAGATATTTCGAATTCCTATTTCAAATGTAAGTATGTGTATTTACCTTGTTTTTCTTAAGTAAGTCATCTCGAGAGCCGTTGATTACTCTCCAATGATCTGAGAGGCACCGTCGAGAACTCTGAATCAGACAAAGGCCCGTCTTGTCTTGTCTTCTCCGAATCTTGCTTGGATTTGGCTGCTGCTGCTTCTCTTCTTTCTCGCTCTTCTGCGTCTTTGAGTAAGAAATCAACCCATAGATCCGCAAATGACTGTAACAAACAAAATAATCCATTAAAAGAGAAAAAAAACTATAAAGGTTCCATTGGATCAGTACTTCATTGTATTACAAAGGATTTTTACCTGGTTATCAGAAGCTGGATTAGAATGTGAATCCGCGGATTTCCCGCCTAAAATTCCGCCAACAAAGCGACCTGGAAAGCCCAATACGCCTCTAACAACACCTTTACCTCCTCCTTGTTGTGCCACTCCAATCCGTTCTTTATCTTCCTCTGAGAATCCTAGCATCCGAACCATGAGGTCCAAAGCCTAGGTAAAAGGAATGAAACAAAAAACAACCTAGTAAACATGAATGTCCGAAAAACCGGATTTCGGAATAATGCCAATGTTTACTTACCTCTTTGCTATGATTTTTCTGAAATTATGTAACCAGCAATTTGATAACGATACGCCTGCAAAATGATTTTGGGTTTCATCACTGCATCAGAACATCTACTTTTGACAGGAGAAGCGAAATGTGTATAATACAGTCAAAATTGGTGTACCTATCAACGAGATAATCCTG